ATTTTTATTGTGGTATTCGGGATGAGTCAACTAAATAGGAAAAATAGAGTTTGATTAATATTTTCCTTCCTTTCTACTCCACCTAAAACTCTTTTTCCTCCTCCTCCTTATTCTTTTTCTTATAAGAGTACTCTTTGAAACACCCTAACCTGGCCGGGTTCTACTTTTACTAAAATTCCCTTGACAAATAAAGTACTCAAATCTTAAATTGCAGCGGAAAAAATTTTCATAAATAAAATACTGAAAACACACACTTGTAGTTCAGAGCAAAGCCCTAACACGTGGGCAAATTAAACTCAAACTTTAAAATCTCAATCTGATATCCAGTCTATACTCATAATCATAAATGTACATAACTAATAATCTCTAATGTTGTTGTTACTGAAACCTTGACTAAGCATCCTATGTGACGCTTATACTGCCCTCCTCTAGTTGTCAGCCCTCGAATTCGCTGCTCACTAAAAGCTCCTCTAGCTCTTCCTCTAGCTCTTCAAACTGGTGAGTGAGATTGGGTCAGTCTACGCCCTTACGTTTAAAATTCTTACTGCTTAGTACTTTACTTAAAACACTTACTTAAATTTGTGGAAGTTGTTTGTACTTCCACTCTTAAAATTCCCAACTCTTAAAACTGTATGGGAGTTACTGTTACTCTCCATTCTTAAAGCTCAAATCTCGACTTAAATACTTGACTGACACTGGGATCCCCCACTAGCTAGTCCGGTTGCCAACTCATACGTATGAGAAGCCATCAAGGCTTTCCTTAAACTTAAACTTAATTAGGGGAGTCATAACGATTCATCCCCCTAACATCTTAAACATCACCACGATTCTCAAGAGCATAACTGCTGCTCATCTTAAAAGTCTCAAAAGGCAACGGACTGGCGCTAGTGACTAAAAACACTTAAAATTACTTCACCTTCTTGAAGGTGAGTTACTTCTTAAAAAGAACTTGTTTCTTAAAATTTAACAATAACTTATACTCATAAAATTTCAAAGTAAATAATAACCATTCACTTCAAGTCATAACTCAAAAAAGGAACATATCATCAACCATAATCATGCAATCTCAAACATGAAGCAAATACTGCACATACATCACGTAAATCAATACTCGAAAATACTCAAGGCAGATACTTAAAAACCGCAAGGCGTATAATTTACCCCCTTTACACTCACCTTACTTCCGTCGGAACTGGCTTGATTTTGCTCCAAAGTTTCCATACTCGCTTCCACATATTACACTCGTACTTGGTCGAATAAAATTGGAGCAGCGGCAAATGAAATTAAATGGACCGGCTTTATTTTGGTCGCTATTGGCCACCCTGAATCCGCCGGCCCTAATGCTTGCTTCCCCTTGTCGGCCGTCCGTGCCACAGGGCAATAATCATGTGTTGCTTAAGCAAGCATCTCTCATAGCAGGGAGAATGATTATGCGCTTTTGCCCTAATTTGCCGACACTATATGCTTGGCTAGGTGCCGGCACTTAGTGCTTAATAATGGTCGCCGCCTATCAATCTCCTGCTGAATCGTCGACCTACTGAGTCGGCTCCTACTTGTTTGAATAATGGTCCTGCTTGCTTGTGGGGGTGATTACGACGCGCCTTTCACTTCGCAAGCGGATGAGAAATCGCCTCCTGCTAGCACCTCTCTTAGTACAGGGAGGAAATAGCGCCGCTTTGATTTTAATTTCCCCGGAGAGCATCGCCTCCTGCTTGCTTAAGCTAGCACCTCCCGTAGTAGAGAGAATGATCATGTCTTGTCTCCCTAAACTATGATTTGATTTCCGGAGAGCAACCTTCTTGTTCTGATTAAAATGCGAGCTCTTTCAGCAGGCTTGTTTTCAGGAGGGTTCTAATGATTGATTCTGTTGGATATCTCCCGTCTGGGTTTTCTCGGAAGAGGTATCAGTCCGCGTGATTTATCTATCTCATTAGCTGCGCCGAATCCCTACTTCTTGTTGCTAGCAAAAAGATCTAAATAAAGCTGGTTTTCCATGAAGAAGATTTGGCTTTTGGCTTTCGGCTCGGGATTCATTATAAAAAGTCTGGTTCTGGTTTAGCTGGCCGCTTCTCAAGTACGGCAAAAGGATCAGACGTCCCCCATGCTACGGTTCCCCGAGGCAAGGAATGCGAGAACAAGGGAGGTCCCACTTTTACTGTATTCAAAAGCAGGAAAGCCGTGTCCGTCATGCTAGCTGGATGCTTTGACCAGTAGTTCTGAGGCCGAGTGGGTTAGGTGAGGGTTCTAGGATTTTAATTAGCCAAAGGGTTATTCGTGGAAATTCACACTTGCGGGTGAGTTTAATCAAAAACTCAATTAATGTCCACAACTTTCTCATTTTATGTCGAAATTCGACACCGCTTGAACCGATAGTTCACATTATAAGCCCTCCTCGACATTACGGTGAAACTTGTATATCTTGAACCGATAGTTCACATTTTAAGTCCTCCTTGACATTTTAAGCGCATAATAATTCTCCCTGCCATGAGAGATGCTTGCTTAAGCAACACATGATTATTTCCCTGTGGCGCGGACGGCCGACGAGGGGAACTAAAATGTGAACTATCGGTTCAAGCAGTATCGAATTTCGACATAAAATGAGAAAGTTGCAGACATTAACTAACCCTTTGACTAGTTAAAACCCTAGAACCTTAACTAACCCACTCGGCCTCACCATAAAACCCTCGCATCCCTTCTCCACCGAAAGGAACTTGCTCAAAGTTTGGGATCTACGGGAGGTACAGGACATGATCACTCTCTACGGGAGGTGCTAGCTTAAGCAAGCAGGAGGCGATGCTCTCCGGGGAAAACTAAAATCAAAACGGCGCTGCCCACTCCCTCACCTCTAGCTTAAGCAAAGCAGGAGGCGACTACGAGAGGTGCTAGCTTAAGCAAGCAGGAGGCGATTTCTCATCCGCCTTCGCGTAATCACCCCACAAGCAAGTAGGACCATTATTCAAGCAAACAGGAGCCGACTCAGCATGTTGACAATAGCGGCGACTAATTAAGCAGGCAGGAGGAGGCCATTATTAAGCAGGCATGCGGCGGCACCTAACCAGGCATGTAGTGTCAACAAATTAGGGCAAAAGCACATAATCATTCTCCTTACTATGAGAGATGCTTGCTTAAGCAACACATGACTATTGCCCTGTGGCGTGGACGATCGACGAGGGGAAGCAAGCATGAGGGCCGGCGGATTCAGGGCAGCCAATAACGACCAAAATAAAGCCGGTCCATTTAATTTAATCTGCCGCTGCTCCAATTTTATTCAACCAAGTACGAGTGTAATATGTGGAAGCGAGTATGGAAACTTTGGAGCAAAATCAAGCCAGTTCCGACGGAAGTAAGGTGAGTGTAAAGGGGTAAATTCTACGCCTTACGGTTTTTAAGTATCTGCCTTGAGTATTTTCGAGTATTGATTTACGTGATGTATGTGCAGTATTTGCTTCATGTTTGAGATTGCATGATTATGGTTGATGATATGTGCCTTGTTGGAATTATGACTAGAAGTGAATGGTTATTATTTACTTTGAAATTTTATGAGTATAAGTTATTGTTAAAGTTTAAGAAACAAGTTCTTTTTAAGAAGTAACTCACCTTCAAGAAGGTGAAGTCGTTTTAAGTGTTTTTAGTCACTAGCGCCAGTCCGTTGCCTTTTGAGACTTTTAAGATGAGCAGCAGTTATGCTCTTGAGAATCGTGGTGATGAGCCACCACGATAAGTTTAAGATGTTAGGGGGATGAATCGTTACGACTCCCCTAACTAAGTTTAAGTTTAAGGAAAGCCTTGATGGCTTCTCATACGTATGAGTTGGCAACCAGACTAGCTAGTGGGGGATCCCAGTGTCAGTCAAGTATTTAAGTCGAGATTTGAGCTTTAAGAATGGAGAGTAACTGTAACACCCCGATAATTTAGATTTAGGTTCGACCTTAATACGTGATCGGTTGGATTGACGGTTAAGTACTAAGAGTTATGACCGCGGATTAGGAATAATAATAATAACTATTATTATTATTATTACTCTAATTAAAAAAAAATTACATATACTAACCTAGAGGGCCGAGCGGCGGCTCAAGTTAGGATGCATAACCATGGGTTATGCACCCATCAATAACCAAATCTGGACCTTTCATTTAGAAAATCCAGATCTAAAGATGGAGAATTAAAGATCATTTTTATTTTCACTAGCTTTCTTAATTGACTAATATCTTTTTCGTTTTAACTCGGATTTTAATTTTTTTTGCACAGATGGAACGAGTTCATCGTGCTCTACAAAATGAGATCAATTTTCAATATTTTTTAGGAAAAAAAATATTTTGGCCTCTCGGTACCAACTGCATACCATATGGTATCTTCTTCGTTTTTAATTCGTTTTTGAAAACGTTTGCACAGCAGGGACGAGTTCATCATGATCTATTGGATCTACAAATTTCTGGGTGAACAAATTACAAGACAAAAAAATACCACACAATACCATACAATACCACCTTGGTACGGGGTGGTATCTTATGGTATACAATGTTAAAAGTCGTAAATGACAATTAATATACTTCTACTATCATGTATTCAACCATCCTACAGTTTTGGTTTCTGTTATACCACCATGGTACGGTTTTCAAAGCATAGGTATGCTCTTATTTCAGTACCGGTCAATACCATATGGTATAGACTGGTATAAAATTGCTCAATTTTTTTTGTTCGAAAAATATATCAAAGTGGATATCATTTTGAAGAGCATAATTAATATGATCTAACTGTGCAAAAAAAATTAAATTTCTACTTAAAACGAGTGAGAAATCGTCCGTCAAAGATTAAGGAGGGGAAAATTAAAGTCTTTCCAGGAAAGAAAGAATACTGATGTCATGCAGATATGAGCGGGTTACTCATAGTTACTCACTATAAGATATCTGACCTGATCCGTTCCCCGAAAGGCCCTCTCTATAATTCCCCACCCCCCTCCTTTTCCCAGGAGCATAAACCCGAACCGAGTTTTTATTTGTTCCCCAGCCACCGCCCCAACCTTTTTGTTTTCCCCAACGAGCGGAGAGGAAGAGAGAATGCGATCAGCAACCTTAGTCGACAACTTTATGAGCTTGACAAATGACAAAGTACGTCGGTGGCAAAGGAACGTTGATGGTGAGGAGGTAAGCAACCAACTATTAATTTTTGGTTTCGCTTTGGCTAATGAAGCCGGGACGAGGGATTCGTTTGGGACCGTGGTTTCATGGAATTAGTATATTTCCTAGTTAGGCCAAGCTACGGGAGTAACACGTGGAAAGGAGATGGTGGATAGAATGAATTTGGAGCTTCTAAGTTAGGTTATTAGGAGGGGTGATTGATCAGAACTATGTCTGAATGAAGTAAATGAACTTTGGGGTTTTTTGGGTATGTAGATGTATAAGTCGTGGAAGTGGTCGATGGTGACAAATGGGTAAAATCCAACTTTGGTTACACGTCGTGGACTAGCTGGTGGTTATAGGTAAAGAACAAATTTAGAGCTAATGTTGGATTTACTAGTGGGTTGAAGGGGTAGTCAAGTTAAATTGGAAGCTTAAACCACTTGCAACTATGGATTGTGTTTTGGATGGCTGTGTTGTACGAATCCGAAGGACGAGGTCAAGTCAAGGGTTTCGATGGAGGACAATGGTCAAGTGGGCCAAAGCATGGCCGACAAGGCTGGTCGAAGGGAAAAGATTGAGTCGGTGAATCGGGAGTATGCTTTACCTAAGTCGGGTAACATGGATAATCAGGTGAGTGTAAAGGGGGTAAAATCTCTGTCGTAGGTCTTTCAGTTTCTGCTTTTCGTTCAAGTTATTTTGAGTTAATTTTGAGTAATGCGCGATATGTGTGAGGCATCCCACCGCCTGTAAGGGTGCAGGCACGAGTTGTGCTATTTATGAATGGTTGTGATGTTGTATGGATTAATGGTATGAGAAAACCCCGGGCGGTTGGGCCACTACTGGACGCGGTAGATGGTCGGGTCACTGCTGGACGGCGAGATGTAACGCAGCAGTTGATCGAGTATGTTGGGGTCACTACTGGACGGCGAGACGTAACGCAGTAGTTGACGGGCATGGACTGGACGGCGAGACGTAACGCAGTGCCATTGCCGAGTTTGGATATGCAACCGAACGGCGAGACGTAACGCGGTTGGCATACTAGGGTAGGACACCGGACGGCGAGACATAACGTGGTGGTCCTAGTGTTTTGTGTTGAGATAAGTATAGAAGTCGAGAACTTTTATGAGTTAATGTTGAAATGAGTTGATAAGAATGGTTATTTAAGAGCAGAAAGCGAGAACGACTTTCATGCTAGGAAGACATTTCCCCTAATAATGTGTTTAGTAAGGAGTTTTGCCTAGGGCAAAGGCCTTAGGAAGTAACGACGGGACTGACCCCTTCTCACTCACCAGGTTGAGGACAGTCTAGCAGAAGTGGATCACGAGAAGAAGCAGGGCGAGGTGAGCAGCAGTACCAGCGTCGATGGGATATCGGATAACTCGTGAGGAGTCAAGTTAGATTAGTTAGAACAGGTTTTGTTTCATGGTTATTAGTATAAACTGGAGATTCTGTGTTAAGTCGTTTTAAGTGTCTGAGATTGAGAATTTTGCCCAAGAGTTGGGGCTTCTCGTTAAAAATTCTTAAATAATGTCAATTTGTTTATTTTAAAAGTGGTTTGGGTTGCTCTGGAATAACCGGTTTTCGGCTTGTGTTGCAGTTTGGTTTTCTAAAAAGATCGGGTCATGTCAGTAACAGTAACTCCCATACAGTTTTAAGAGTTAGGAATTTTAAGAGTGGAAGTACAAACAACTTCCACAAATTTAAGTAACTGTTTTAAGTAAAGTACTAAGCAATAAGAATTTTAAACGTAAGGGCGTAGACTGTCCCCATCTCACTCACCAGTTTGAAGAGCTAGAGGAGCTTTTAGTGAGCAGCGAATTCGAGGGCAGGCAGCTAGAGGAGGGCAGTATAAGCGTCACAGAGGATGCTTAGTCAATGTTTCAATAGCAACAACATTAGAGATTATTAGTTATTTACATTTATGATTATGAGTATAGACTGGAGATCAGATTGAGATTTTAAAGTTTGAGTTTAATTTGCCCACGTGTTAGGGCTTTGCTCTGAGATACAAGTGTGTGTTTTCAATATTTTTTTTTTGTATGAAAATTTTTCCCACTGCAATTTAAGATTTGAGTACTTTATTTGTCAAGGGCATTTTAGTAAAACTAGTACCCGTCCGGGTTAGGGTGAGGCTAGGTTGAGGAGCAGTTAGAGAGCAGCGGGATCGAGAGAAACAGTTCGAGTGAGGCTAGGTTGAGGAGGACGATACGAGCGTCACAGAGGATGTCAAGCAGCAACACTTGAGACTAGTTAGTTATTATGTTTTATGATTATGAGTATAGACTGGAGATCAAGTTGAGTTTTTAAAGTTTGAGTTAAGTTGCCCACGTGTTAGGGCATTGCTTTGAACAACAAGAGTGGTTTTCAGAAATTTGTTTATGAAAATTTTTCCCAGTGGCAATTTAAGATTTGAGTATTTTATCTATCAAGGGCATTTTAGTAAAAGTAGTACCCAGTCGGGTTAGGGTGTTACACTCTTCCTCTTCCTTCGTGAATTGTTTGATTCTTTTGATTGTGACCTTTAGTAAAAAGCTCTAAGGATTTTCTTCCTTTGAGGACATTGAAGGGCTTTTTTTCGTTGAATAAATGTAGCTTTTTGGTGTTTCGAGCTGACCACCCGGTTACAACATCCGCTGGTCAATAAGTCAACCCACTAGGTTGAAGGAAGAAAAAGAATATTATGGGATGATTAAGGAATCAGTAGAGGTTTAAGAGGAGGAGAAAGAAAGAAAAATATAAATCGTATGAGAAGATAAGAGAATAAACTTTGCTTAATCTTTTATATATATTTTTTAATCAGAATTTGCTTAAGTTTTATTAATGAACAATTTCGATTACATTGTCCAGCATTAGCTGATCAACAAGAAAATTATGTGGCCTATCAAGCCAAACAATACTCTCATCCCATCGAGTTTCCTTGTGTGCCTTAAACTCAGCTGCCTTGTTTTCTTCCCGATAGATGAACTTCCATCCAATGTCGCCCATCTGCGTAAGTTTCCGACAGATGCTTCTGCACTGTACTCCCTCTTTCGTTTGCACCTGGTTCATCTTGTCCATCATTTGCATTAGCACCTGACTATCGTACTCTAGAATGGGTCACCAAAGCTGCATATGCCAGACCAGCTACACTCTGAGAAAAGGATAAAATGTTTTCCATTATCCCTTATCACCACTCCAAGGCATGCCCTTCCGGTCGGCAATACACCGGTGTTCGTGGTAATCGAGATAGAATCATCGTTCGACTATTTCCATTGCTTTGGCGCTCTTTCACTGTGATCCATATGAGCCACCTGCTTGTGCCCTTGTTACTGCTTATAGGCTTCAAGATAGATGGTTGCCCTCACCACAATTTCCTCCTCTGATGTCTTTTGCCCATTAAAGAGTTGGGCATTCCGCTCTTTCCATAGGAACCAAATCAGTGTACATCATTCCTACAACATCCCCGTATCCACCTTTGCCATCAGCTGTTGCACCCATGCCCAATAGTTCTCATCCCCCAGCTTCAAAACAAGAGAATAGTGAGGAATGACAGCAAATTCTCGTCATCCAGCTGCATTCCGCAAAAAAAAAAGGACTTGGGTCTCTCGGAGATTTCAAAAGGGGCATTTATCACTCCATTTGGAACTCTTTTCACTAATATGATCGCCCATTGGAAGAGTATTCCTCATAAACCTCCACATGAACTGTTTGATCTTCACCGGCAGAGTCAATCCCCACATGAACTTCCACGTACTCTCATCCCCATGCATAGTTAGGTCATGTTCCATCACAAACTCTTTTAGCCATTCATTGTAACCTTCCTTCCATACAAAATCACCATTTCTACTCCAATTCCAAAGTAGCTTATCTATCTCCCTGTTGCCGCAAAGTGGTATCTGCTTGATCGCTTCAACGATGGTAGTTGGGAAGCAGGTTTCTAGGAGATCGACGTCCCATTATTCTGTCTCTGTTTTAGTTAACTCTCTGACACACGAATCCACTGGCAAACCCATTGGCACTGATATTAAAAAAATCTAGGCACCAAGGGGAGCCACTTGCCTCCCAAATGTTCACGCTCAGTCCATTTCCCACTCGCCACCGGATTCCACTCCACAGGAATTCATGTGCGCTCATGAGTGAGTTGAACTTGTGGTACTTTTCCTTAATAATCCTCGCACTAATAATCCTTTGCAAGTAGCACCGTGTTAAAACCTCGCAAGTCGCAGAACCCCAGTCCGCCCTCGCTTTTCTATTGCACTAGTTCCTCTCTGCAGATCCAGTGTGCACATCCTTCCAATCTTATTTTCCCCACCAAAATTTGACGATCATGATGTTAATTTCATCCATTACTCCTTCAGGAACTCGGAAGACAAGCATGGAGTATGTTAGTTGTGCTTGCTCTACTACCTTGATCATAACCTCCCTTGCCGTTGCGAACATAGTTTGTTCTTTCGCCTTTTAACTTCTTTTGAATTCGCTCCTTCAGAGACACAAACAATTCCTTTTTTGATCTTCCAGCTTATGTTGCGAGTCCAAGGTACTTGTCATGGTTTTCAACAATTTTCATTCCCAGGCTGCCTCCCACCACCAATGAGGTTTAACATTCCAACTAAAAGATACCTCTGACTTTTGAAAATTAACCAGTTGGTCATATTCTCGTTCATAGTCGTTTAGTATCTTCTTCAACTGCGAACTCTCCTTTGAAAAAGGAGCTAAGAAGAAGATTAATCATACGCACAAAAGTAAAATTAAACAACAAGTACTAATTATATATTGAAAAGGTTTTAAGAAGTACTCAAAATAAAAAGCACACACATACTACTTAAACATCCTACAAAGTTCATTATTCGAATGAAAAGGAAAGATGAGAAAAGGGGTAGAGAAATGGCCCTCGGTGCAATCCATGCTATAGAAGGCTCACTCCCCATCGTTGTCCTCGTTAGATGCCTTGAAGTTGTGCTCGCATGTGATCTCGAGATAGTCATATGATCCGCCGCTGCGTCCTCATCTGGCGTTGTTGGTTGGCGAGGATGAGATCATTATGTCGCCCTATGTTGGTCAACCTCGCCTCAAAGGTATCCATCCTGTAGGTGATTCCCACATGAGAAGGGTCGACATCATCACGAAGTGGAGGTGGAGGAGGAATCGCCTATGTTGGTCAACCTCGCCTCAAAGGTATCCATCCTATAGGTGAGTCCCACATGAGAAGGGTCGACATCATCACGAAGTGGAGGTGGAGGAGGAATCGCCTGGTTGTCGTCCTGTGCCTCAACATCATCATCATGCTCAACAACTGGCACGTGATCGGTGAAAAAACCCATCTTGTAAAGTGTAAAGGGCCCTGTAGGAAAAGGGTGTGGTGTTCGATTTTGCTTGGGATCGAAAATATCGGACTGCCACATCGAAGTGTCGCGCCAAGCGGGTGACATAAGCACCACCATGGACCTTCCCACACTTTTCCGTAGCAACCTGAAAAAACAATCGGACGACCGCCCATCCCAAGTGGATCGGGACTCGCTCGTGAAGTTGGTGGAGGATGTAGAGGTCTCTCGTGAACACCGAACCTCCACTTTCATTCTTGCCCGTCAGAGAGTAGCCAATGAGGGTGTGGCAGATGCCCATCACCAGGGTGAGTTGAGTCCTCTTTGCGTGCTTCGTCGGCCACC